ACTCAGAATACGTGAGGTAAATGGGCTGTAACCTGAGAACTTTCGTGTGAGGGCACTTTTTTCAAAATGGAGGCCAAAATCCAATATAATACATAATATGGGTAAAATAAGCAATTAAGGGTTTATTTCACCAGATTTTAAGTATGTAATGATAAAAGTGAAGTATAAAATTTCAGAAGGCAACTGAGGGCGCCTTTCAAAATGGCAGCAAAAAAAACCAAAAAAACAGCAGCTTCAATACCCTAAAGAATTTTGTTTAATTTATGAAACATGAATGTAATAACTGCTGTTGACTTTTAAAACCCAAAATAACGTATTTTAGGGTGGTAAGCTTCCTCACTGTTGACGATGAAAGCAAAGACACCCCCTTAAATTAGCCCTTCTCTGTTTTGAAAAATGGAAATATCACTAGAATCAAAAAAAAAAATTCCAGCTTTCTACAGATATAGAGTGGTTTTTCATTATTTTTATATACTACACAAGGTATTCCAGAGGACCACACAAACAACTACCATAATTTTCATGTATAAAGAAGGCATTAATTCATTTATTACATATTTATCCTCTGTAACCCTATGTTCAGCAATATTCTCAGGTATTGCTAGTGTCACTGCAATCTGAAAGTCTTTATATTCATTATGTATAAACAGTTCTTCAACAGTAAGGAAAAGTTGCTGAATGACAAGTTAAATATTATACACAAGGCGATGTGTGTCAGACTTTAAATACACAAAACTTGCATAGCAATTGTTTTCAGCTTTGTACCAACCTGTAAAAACATAGTAGTCATTAGCACCAAATGTTAATTACCTGTTTGACCTTGTAAGGCCGAAAAAAGGTTGGGGGTGGGCAGGATGGATGCGGGATTTGGAGGTAGAGGTGTGTAAGAGTCCACACCAGCTCAGCCCCACCATGGTTAAGACTGAGGCAAGAAAATGTTGAGAATAAGGACCTCTAGGCCTATTAAATAAACACCTAACTTAGCCCTACCATGGGAGTACATGGTTCCCTCATGATGCATGTGACAGATAAACTATTATTTTCTGATACAGATTGGCCTTATCATAGTATAGATATTATCATAATATAGAGCAACATAATTTGTGGTATCGAAGTGACACTTCAAATCAATCAATTTGGTTACTTAAAAAAAATATATTTGCATTTTCAAGACCCAAAGAAAAAGTGATCCAAAGTTGTTAGGCCTACAATTATTATGGGAAAAGTATATTTTGTTCGTCTCTTAATTTTTATAGTGTTCTAGTCTATTATTTATGTGTTTGGTACCTTACTGAACTTAACCATGTGGAAAATCTGTTTAGGTAGGGCCATGTGACATGAAGTACGTGTTACATGGCTTGTGTTAAATACTTGAGGCCACATACTGGTACACTGGATTTAAATAAAAAATTAGCTTGTTTTGGATTAGGCCTACGGTACTGTGCTCCCCTCCTTCTGGACTTCTTTTTTTCTCTCTTTATTCTATCTTTATTTTTCAGGGGGCTGGGGTAGGCTAGCCCCATGCTTCCTGATCTGCTTCTCATGACAATTATTGTTTGATAATGCTTATTTATATTGGCAGAGATTCATTGGAACTTCGATGAAAACATTCATGATTAAGCACGTAACCTATACACGCTAATGAAATGACTATTTATGCATACACTCTAAATACATTGCATTGCATGCAAATATTCAATTTAAAAATGTGTATGCAAATAATTAGTTGATTATATTGTTAAATAGTTGCACAGTAAATTTTTACCCTGTTTAATAATTAAATACAGTCATTTCAGCCTTCACAATTATCTTTGGATAAATACTTGAGGCCACATACTGGTACACTGGAGTTAAATAAAAAATTTGTGAGTGCAAACACTTTGCAGAAGGGGGCCAACATTTTTTTGCCCTGGTCCCCATGACTCATCGTCACGCCACTGGTTTAAAAAATATTATGTTGTTATAGTAAATGCCTTGGGCTTAATTTCGCAAATTAATTATTTTAAAATGTGCCAAACTGTACAATGTGCAATCAGAACATATATTTTTTATAGCATTTTATTATAAATCATATTTGGCAACTCATGTATAAAATTAGCATTGTAATTTATATTTCAATTTTATTTTCTTTGTAATATTGTATCTTGTGTTTATTTCACTGATGAAAAAGAATCTCAATACATCATGATATAATATTGAGAATAAAAAATATTGTAGAGAAATTTATGAAATTATGAATATTCATTGCAAGAAGAGATTTTAAATTACTATATACAGATGATAATAATAACAAAATAATGAGAATAACAGTGGCAATATTATGACAATAAAAGAATAAATATAACTTTCAACAAAACAATGCAGCCTCATACAGTAGAATAGGTGCATGTGTGCTGAATACTTTAAATGCCAATTCATTGTGCAATGCAAGTTGCACAACTTCACTTAAACTCACTCTCTCAAAATATTTCATATTCTTAAATATTTTTTCTAAACAATAGTTCCTAGGTGCAAATTCATTTTGGTGATAAACAGGTTTCACGTAGGGTATAATTTATGGCGATAATAGTTAATCATGGTATTATTTTCTTTGCTAATTTTTCAGGTCATGACATACACAGGTGTTTAGACTAAGGTGAAATTTAATTAAAACTCCATAGTTACATATTGCCAACAAATTTCACTTAGTCGTGGTAATGAACGTTCTTGTACTGGATTATGCTGCACTAATTTGATTTATAACTATTTGCTGCTTGCTGCTAGCTCTAATCATGTTGTTTCTCTTCAATTTAGGGAGCTCATGGTTATCGCTTCATGGATTGATGGTGGTCTAAGATGTAATGTTGCAGATTGCCACAAATTAAGAATTTGGAGTAAACAATGGATTCAAAACATGCCTTCCTGTCACTCAACACTAGTGATTTTAATGTCTTGATTTTAGACATTATATAAATTCAGTTTACATATTTAGGATTTTATTACTGGTTTACAAGCTATCACTACATCAATTTCATTTGATAAGTGACATGATGAAATACTAGAGTTGTGTATTAAATTGCACCTAATTCTTTTTTGACTTCTCTTAAATGCCACAGTCTACAGTAATGATTTCTTTACAAGATAAATTAATAGGGATTGAAGAAAAGTGTTTTTACAAGATAAATTTATAAGGATTAGAGAAAAGTGTTTTCGATATCAAATTTAATTTCATTTGTCCATTTATCAATTAATGTTATGTTATACAATGCTTTGGAAAAAATGGTTTTACAGAAAAAACTAGGCTATAGGTAGCCAATATGACAACACAACCAAACAAATAGGATCTTGGGTTTGAATCCAATAGAAAAATATTTTTTTCTCAAATATTATTTAACATCTTTATACATACCTAAATTGCACAAATGAGCAATGATATTGGTGATTGAGATATTTGTGTTTCACTATATCAATCTTAATTTCTTATTGATATTTTATAATGCAGTATTTCATTTATAGATTTATTGTTAATGTAAAAAAAACATGTAGTTTTATAATTCCAAAACAAGTTTGTGAGATCGATTAATTAATAACATATTTACACAAATACTTTTAAATCTCTTTTCATTAGTTTGATTATTCAGATGCAGTATCTTTGAAATAGATAAATACATAAATATTTATCATTAACAAAATATTGTTGTGTTATTTAAATTTAATTCTATTACGTTGTTAACAATATACCACCATTATAAAGGAGCATTGAACAATAAATACCAACAAGTATAGGAATTAAGATGATAATTAAGATAATTTTAATAATTTTCAATTCCCTTACTGTATATGGGAATAAAATATTACTGGTAGCACTTTACTAACAATTTTACCATGCAATCAAAATGCTGGCGAAAACTTGTTATTACTGTAGTCAATAAAGTGCTACCAGTGTTTTTATTTCATACATCAACCGGACTAACAGGCTCTCTATCTACAATTTTATTTTTTTTCAGCAATTTTCATTTGGGGCTGCCTGTGGTGCAAATCTTTTTTTAGTGGGAGGGGGTGTGTACCTCTAAGATACGCCACTGTTGAGCTCACATTATTGTCTGTGCTAAGAAAATATTTTATCCACAATCGACTTAGCAATTAATGTACTTATTTATCACGCTGTGTTCAAATTCTAAAAGCTGCAGAATTCCATCTCAGCTTAGTGCTCAAAATATGCCATCAGCTTTAATACTTTATTTGGACAATTAAATTTCTTTATTTTGTCTCATATTTTGCTTGTATTATAATGTATGGCATAACATGTTGTTCAAACACCTAAATCCACATTTAGGTAGGCTTAAAAATGATTTGATATTATCATTGATTTCTTTATAACACTTTATAGGCCTATACTTTAGACTTGCTCATCATTGATTAATTAATATTATAAAATTAAGAAAAGAATGTTTTCAATGTCTCTTGCAAGATTTAATGATAGTTAAAAAGTTCATTAAATGTTGCTACACTTTGTATGTATCTTAATACCAATGATGACTCACTTTGTTATTGTATGCCATCTGTTCAAAATTTTACATTGACGTCACATGTTTCAGGTCAACTAATTTACATGTTGTGGCGATTGGTTGAGATTTGACTGTACACCGATTCTCCCCAACAAGATAAATAAGATATCATCTTGCGATATTTTCTCAATACTGTTAAATTGTGGGCCCCCAATAGAGCCACTGTCTTATTACATTACAGCCACTCTTGTAAAATGTGCTTAGCTGCTGTTCATTCTACATCTAGAATGATGCTAGTTTTGATGCTAATGAATCTAGTTTAGATGCTTACATTTACCTTGCTCATTTAACATACAGCTATAAAATTTACTTCAATTTAACCATTTACTCCCCAATTTACAATATGCTATTATATAGGCCTAAATACTTTGGGGGTTTTTTTATAATATAAAATGATTAAAATTTCAAGATATTTTCTGAAATATATTGTAGATAGATTCTGGTGAGACTTACCAATGGTTGTTACAACTGTAAGAGAGAAAAGCATTGATCCAAAGAAATCCCATTTTCCACGATCCTGACTGCCCATAGTGCCGTTTTTTGCATTCGTCTTCATATCAAATTTGTTCAATTCATGAATAGCGTATTTTTGCCAGTCTGTGTAGTTTAGTTCAGTGCATTTATTGTAGAATGATTTTAGTAACTTTGTCTTCTCCATCACCATCACATGCTTGAGTCTTTGCTCTTCAGGTCCTTCAATTGCTTGAAAGACGATAGCACCAAGAAATAAATATCCAACAAGAATTGCTGTTAGTCCCACATACGAAAATAACCACTGGATAAACTTTCGGAAATAACGCATGAATTTCTCCTTTCTTGAAAGGTGGTAGGATGGTTGGACCTGATCCTCAACCTCCATCATTCTATAGCCATGTTACATTGTCTGGTGCGATTAAAAAAAAATCCTTTTCAATATTTGCCCTCCGATTTTATCAAGCTGAGTAAGCCTACATTTGGCCTCTGTCTTGTATGCAGCCCAATGCTCTGCAAATAAAATATAATAACAGGTCGGTTTGACGGTATGCAAGGGGTAGGGACGTTCAGTTGGTTCAATAAGGTGGATTGTCGATGATTTCTGGGGGTTGTTGGCGACGTTATATCGCTCGCAACTGAAGGCCGAGCAGGTCAGTTGGCGGTATTTAGCCTACAAGGGGTAGAGGACGGTCAGTTGGTCGTGCAGACAGGCACGTCTGGCGTAGAAAAATATGTTTTAT